ATACTAGGCTATATTTTTTACTATATATATATATATATATATATATATATATATATCATACTTCATACTACACATACTAAACTAAACTTGACTACTTACTGTCTAAAATGTGAAAAAGAATGAGTGTGTCCAAACATTTGACTTGTAGTGTAAAAATCCAATGTATGTCAGCCCTGTGAGGGCACTTGAATACATGAAAGTGAAGCATTTTAGGTTATCTCCAATGAAAACCTAAAAGGCAAGTCTTAGTAGGAAACTTCCAAAATGTAAGAAAAGAGTAACAGCGACATCTAAGAGTGGAACTGCAATTGCAAGAGAGTAGCATTTTTAACAGTAAAAGTTTTTAGTAGCATTTTAGCTTTAATGGTTAATTTGTGCAGTATCATCCTGCTATGTTACCCATTTCAACATAATCTCTTTTTAATCAGTAATACTCAATTGGAATAATTTGATTGGATCACATGTTACCTAAACTACGTAAATAAATAATTTATCACAGGATGTGCCTCAGACATTGAGATTTTCAGTTTTTGCATGAAACCACTATTAATGTATGACATTGTTGTGGAACATTGTAAGATTGCTGCAAATCACACGCTGGAAACTATAGTATACATTTCCCACATAAGTCATGTTTTTGTTACAAAACATGAAGCAACAACAGCAACAAAAAAGAATAAAAAAAAGTTTTTAATTAATGTTATCAAAAGTCATTCAAACACATGGAAGTAAAAAAAAAAAAAATCACTGCAAAATATAAGAAAGCGCTTTCACAGGAAAAGCGGTAACTGATATCAGTTCTTATAAATAACAAAAAATTATACATTTATGGGAAAGTGAGCTTTATTACACTCTACTACACACCCTTTATCAACCAAGGGTAAAAAAAAAAAACCGCTTTCAGAATTGTCTTTCATGACAATTTGCTGTAGAGAAAGGTGGATTAAAATGTATATGATAAATTTGTTCAATTTAACATTTTTAAACATTTAATATAGATATTATCTAATCACACTCACATTTGTAATCTGAAGTGTAATAAAGAGTTCCCACGACTATGGAAAACCTGAAATATCAGAAAATTATAAATTGTGACCCCAGGCCTGGTAAAGGCATGGATATTAATAAAATCTTACACATTTCTATACTGAATATACAGTATGTATATATATTTTTTTCTCTAAAATATTACAGGATATAATAAAAAATGTTAAGATTATTTTTTTCATGTTTCCTGTAATCACAAATGCCTGAAAAAAAATAATGGAAATTCATTGGTCAAAAGATGTGGGAACCCTAGGAAGCACTACCTAAAGGGACAAGAATTATTATAGATATCGGAGAGACATCAATATAGGAAAGAAAGCATGAAGCATTGCAGAAGAACTCCCACTCCTCCCATGACAAGCTTGCAAGCAGTAAAAGAAACATCAGACCAAAAAGAAACACAAATGCAAAATGGACAGTAAATCTACCTTCATAAATACAACGAGATGATTGGCTGGTGATGGTTGAATGCCACTTGGGGGAGCAAGAGAGTGAGGAAGAAAGTCGATGTCTAGGTAGAATTTCCACTGCGAGTGTTGCAGAGCTCCTCACACAGGATGCTTTTCCCAAGTATTAGGCTGATGCGTTTCATGCCTCATGACAAACAGCGTGAATAAATCATGGCACATCTCAGCTTGTGACACAGAAAGACATAGAGTCATGGACAATTGGTGGTGTTAATGTAGGCAACATCATATTATTTACACTTTAAGAGGTACTTCATGTGTCCATGAGTGTGAGACACTCTTGAAAAATATGATCATCCTGAGATTGGAAAGATTCGCTGTTATTGTTTTCTTTCATTCACTGAGCAGCACCGCACCAGACTGTCTGCATTTCAGCCAAAGCTGTATCAATAGTTTGGCCCTTTACTGAAAGGATCTCTTCGCAACATTGCGCCGTAGCACATGGAAAGATGGCACACGCCTGGCTGACCGGGATCGCCGGGGTGCCCCCTCTTCCCCACCTCGCCATTGTGACCAGGTGGGCCTGGTTTACCTGGGTGACCTGGTTTTCCAACCCCTGGTGGACCCGTTGGACCTGAAACAAAATAATGTGTCTGTCAAGTAATGTGACTGCCTATATTACTTGACTTCATTAATTATTAAATATGTCTCATCATTTCTGTCCTAACAACTCTCAGAGTTTGGCATGGTAATATACATGGCAATGTTGATGTGTTTGGTCTTGGCGGAATAGATCTGCTACACTGCTGCTGCCAAGACCTGTACCGAGACTTGCTGCTGCCAATACATCCACAGATGTGAGCATGCAGGAAATAATGCTGCTGCACATATAACATATGAAATAACCACCATATAGCAGATCTATACAGGTGGAGCTGGGGAAGGTGGAGGGTTTCTGAAGCGCACTGCAGCTGCTACAGCAAGCACTAGCCAAGATTTATTATGTCGAGCAGCAACCTCATTGGCTGTGGATGTGAAAAGAAACCAGTCGGCTGCACCATGTGAATAATGAGGTAATTATGTCAGATTGAGTTAGAAGCTATCGGCCTGTGCCATCTGGAGTTCATGACAGAACTTTGTATTAATCGAATTAGCTTGACGTACTATGGAGACTGTAACCTTCCTCTGCAAAGAGAATGCTACTGACAGATTGGCAAGTCAAATATATTAGACCTGACAACAAGAGTAGAGTGAAGTGCTGTTGCTCATTTCATGGAAGCTATGACCAGAAAGAGTGGGACATTTCCATGGAAAACTATATTTATTGCAAACAAACGAGCAAAAAACTTTATTAACATACATAATAGAACCTCAGGGCAAAAATAAAATACACAATGTATATGTTAGTAGTGGTGCTGCATTTGCTCACCTGGTGGTCCTGGGAGACCTGGGTCTCCAATTTGTGAGCGTCCTTGATTTCCTTTCTCACCCATTTCTCCTGGATCACCTAAACATAGCCAGAAAAAAAAATATATATTTTGTGTGTTCAAAACAAACAATCTACAATTAAATCTATGCTGATACAGATTTCACTTTGTGAGCTATTCATTCAGTTTCCTTAAGCTACTGTAGGAAAACTAATTTGACAAGTCTTATTCGGATGGGATTAGTTTGAAAAATTTGTTTTAAATCCCATTCGAACCTGTCAAGCCTATGTTTTTCTCACACACCATGTGTTAAAATTTCAGAGCAAATCACCTTCAGTTTTTGGCTAAATTAATGGTCCACTGAGAAATCTATTCATGTCTGAATGTGAATGTCAGTGCTTACTGATATTGTATCATCTCAATGCTTCTCATGTGTTTAGCATAACCTGAACTATTGTTTATGCACTAATCTTCCTCATGTGGTACTTTTTAATATGGATGGTATCTGCCAAAATACTAATAGAAATATGAAATTATAAAATCGAATTATATAATTAAGCAACGTCATATCGCAGTAACTTCGATGACTGGTCATATTAATATCAGCATCAGGTAAGACATGTATAGATTAAAATCACAGATGTGTGGTGATAAGAACTGTCAACTCAAACATTATTCAAAAAACTAATCCTGTCCAAATAGGGTTAGATAGAAATTTGTCTTTGTACTTTCTTTACTCATGTAGCTACTATAATTAAAGATTACAATGAAGTTATGTCATTAACATAATTATGTGACTGGAATTATACAACCATTTTCTATAGCCACTACAGGCACTTTATATCCCCCATCTGTCTGGAATCAAATTATTTTATTTACGAATTTAATTTACATAATATATAAAAACTTGGCTATTGATTTTAATACATATTTAAATTACTTATTTTACATCAAATCCATCTTATCATGTTTGTCTGCTTATTATTATTTCTATACAAATAATCTTTTTTCTAATGGTATATGCCAGAGCATGCGAGTGAAGCAGAGTGGAGTGATGCTTCATTCAATATTGTGCTCTATGCCAAAGCACTCCACTCACTTGCTCATGGCCTAAGTGAATGCTCCACTCAAGTACTACTCATGCTCACCAGTAAAACGACGTTCACTCAAATCCTGCTCCAACATTAAATTTCCTCTTCACTATATTGTCACGCCCCTGGACTCTATCTGTGTTTTTTTCCTCCCCCACGTGCTCCATGACCCAGTTTTCTCCCATATTAATTGTTTCATTAGTTCCAGGTGTTTCTCGTCATCCCCTCCTCTAGTCCTGTGTATTTAAAGTGAGTCCTATTCATTACGTAACTCGCGTTACTTGTAATGCGTTACCCCCAACACTGGGTATTGAATGCTATGTGTGTGTCCCTAGTTCCGTTGCATGTCTATTGAAGTCTGTTAGTTTGAAGTCTACTCCACATCTCCTCGTTCCTTACTCCGTGCTCCTACACAGTAGTGCTCGTGACGGAATACCAGACCAAAACAGTTACCTCCGTGTGTTCCCTCCGTTTTTGTTTTCGTTTTTTGCTCAGTGTCTTTTGTTTCCGTTGTGTCCATGGATCCCCTTGCCCACCCTGAATACCTCCTCCTCCTGCTGGAGCAGGGGGAAAGATTGCTCGAGGGCCACACCAGACTGTTTCTGGCCCTCGCTGAACTCACCAGCTATCTGGACGACGCGCTCTGCGCGTTCTATGATGCCAGCCTGAACACCGCGTGCAGAGCGCCGTGCTGTACTAAACTGTATTTAAAGTGAGTCCTATTCAGAGTTCTGTGTCTGGTATTGAATGTCCATTTCCCCGCTATGTGTGTGTTCCAAGTTCCGTTGGATGTCTATTAAAGTCTGTTAATTTGAAGTCTGCTCCACGTCTCCTCGTTCCTCGCTCTGTGCTCCTACACAGTAGCGCTCGTGACATATATGACTTTCTGTTTATAATGAATTTCTTT